GATGTGATAAAACCAAACACTGCAACCATATATTCCACTAAGAACAGTTTGTTGGCAAATAGGCTCTTTTGAACTTTCTATGATCTTGCTGATCATTGGAAATTTATTGATATTCCCGAGAGGCCTGTTCCATTAAGCTCTTGAAAGTCTCCCTCTTCATCGGTCTCTAGGTTCTGCACCAGTCTTCACCCACGAGTCCATCTTGAGGGAATTCGATACAAGACTAAGACACTAAGACCCTCTCTAGGGCCGTTGGGACCTCTTTTCTCGTAGTTCTTCCTCCATATGACCTACTGATTACTAAACAAAGTTGCATAGTGTTTTTTTTTATTTTAAAATAGCTTACTTTGTCTATTTATTGTATTAATAATACATTTGCAGAGTGGCTAATAAATTCTAATAATTCAATTTATTTTCAAAATTTGCCTGGTTTGGTTTCTGCTGGGTAAGAAAAATGAGCTAATAACTCCTTTACATATTGTAACTTTTGTATTTATAATATATGCGGTTTATAATAATAATTCCGATTGTATTTAGCAGTAGAATTTTTAATTCTCTATCATGTAGCTTTTATTTCTAGTAGTGGTTTGTGTAAAAGAGCCTCCATTGAGTGATCATTTTTTCTTTGTACATAAAGTTGTAATATTTTCAATAGTAAGAAATAATAAAAAAGGAAAAAATTGTAAAAAAGATTTAAGGTCACAAACTGTTGGTCACAATAGGGAATGATGAAACAATTCTAAATGTTTATTTCATTAAAAACATTCACTCCATCTACTTCTTCAAAATATTGTTTATCAATAAAATATAACATCTTTATTAAATTCACTAGCCTTCGGTTTAAAAACGAATATTGCATCTTTGCAAAATCTTCCATCAAACTAACAATAAACCCACTTACCAACCAGCTTAACAAACCAACCAACCAATCCACCCACTCAGCAACCAACAAACTAATTCACCCACCAATCAACCAGCCAACCAATTCACCCACTCACCCACTGACCAACAAACCAACCAATAAGCCCAACAATCCACAAACCAACCAACCCACCCACAAACCAATTCACCTGCCAATCAACAATCGAATCAATCAACCAACGAACCAAAACACCAAACAACTAACCAACCCTACAACGCGCCCACCCGTGCGTCCGCTCGTCCATCCATCCATCCATCTAGCCAATCTCTGTCGTTTTGTCATTTTGGCGTGCCTGCTTGCGTGTTTGCTTCCGTACTTGCTAGTTTGCTTCCCTGCTTGCTCCTTTGCTTGCTTCCTTTCTTGCTTGTGTTCTTGCATGTTTTCTTGCTTGCTTCCGTTGTTGCATCCTTGTGTTCTTCTATACTTCCTTCAATGCTTCCATGCTTCCTTCAATGCTTCCTCGCTTCCTTCTATGCCTTGTTGATTCCTTCCTTCCCACCGACTGAGGTAGATCAGGACAACTGACGTCACGGCAGTGCCTCTGATGTGGAGATCTTAGGTTTCGCTGGCAGGGTTTTCGACGTTAGCAAGATAGCTGGACAAATTGAAAGGCTGGTTGGAAGAGAATTCTAGTGGCCGCCTGCTGTGATCGGTAGTTTTCTGGGTCCTCTATCTGTTTCTTCCCTGCATACATACTTTCTTACACACTTTTCGTATTAACGTAATATGAGACGTTTTCTAAATTTCCTTGTCTAATATTTTTTTAGAGATTGAGCAACATTTCGCGCTGAAATATACAGCAGTCATACTATTTTATAGACAAACATTTACAGAAATATAATGTTTCACGTCCTGGTGGAATAGCATACTTTTGAAATTTTCATCGAAAGCGCACGCATTTCCTTGGAAATAGTTGACAAAAGAAAGCAAAAATTAACTCTAAAACCTATTTGACATTTTGAAATTGTAATGACGTCAACATGTGTATTTCAAATATTTCGCACTTTGGATGTGTGTTGTTTTCTAGAAGTCTTTCATTATCTGTTTAATGAATTCCAATTTTTTTCATTTTAATATCAATAAACGCTCCCCATTAGGATGACTTTTCAATTTTGCCAAGAGTACACAAACATTACAAGGAACAAAATTTTTAAGAGAGAGATAATTTTAATAAGAGAAAAATAAAGATATGCCAATATTGCCAATATTGTATCGATATTGTTTTTATTTATAAGAATGATTCACATCTCCGCTACATGTTTTCAAAAATCTAAACTCTTTACAATTGAGATTGTTTTGTGAAAGAAAATGGTTTATTTTCATTTGGAATTTTTTTCCTCTCAACTAAAATGGGGTTGTGATTGTGGTTGTGAAATATCAGTGCCACTAGCAAGATCATGAACAAGATAGTTCATTTTGTTTCCTTTATTTTATTTTCTACTGCAATTCAATAACATGTAGACAGAAATTTTGATATCACATCATGTCATCGTTTTGAAGTAAACTTCATTTTCCCTTACAAATATCAACAAGGTTCTTCCTAACATAGTTTACACACTAAATCAGGAACTTTTTATTTGTCTTAATCACCTAATTTCAGACTAAACTAAAAAACTGGTGTATATTTCTCCTTTGATTAATCACTGAATATTTACCACAAATAAAACAGAAAATGAATCATTATTAAACCCATTGTAGCATTATTAATTATTCAGTCATAACAGTCATTTAGATCTGGCATCACGTCATCATTTCAAAATTAGTTTCTCTTTCCACGTCAAACATAAAGAAGGATCTTCCTCACAAAAACACTGTACTAGGAACTTTGAATTGCCACGAACGCCCAATTTCAGACTAAACTAACAAAATAGCCCTGCGACGGATATAAAGCAGAAACAGAATCATTCTTAAACTCATTGTAGCTTTACTCATAACTCTGCTGTCCTCTGCAAAGCGCAGAAGCTGGCTTGGAAGGGCCGAGTCGCTCCCGCGTGACGAAGCCCGGGGCCGCCGGGAGGAAATTTGCTGTTGCCCGAAGCGCCCGTTGTGCAGGTTCGTCCGGCGACGGAGGCACGCCAAGTACGTGGTCTGGCCGGGCAGCCATGGACGTGCGCGTCAGCGCCGAGGAGCCGTTGTGTGTCTGGTGCGGGCGGCCGCCCGGCACCGCCCCGCCCCGCCGCCCCCCCGCCCGCGACGCCAGGTACGCACCCCCGGACATCCCATTCTCCTTTGGCCCAGAGACAGTGAGTAGTACGCGCTCTGCGGCCGGGCTTTCCACACTAGCTCGACATCTTAGACAAATTACCTTCTTGGCTATCCAGGAGACGCCGCGTCCTGAACACAGGCGCCAACGTTTCGGTTGCCATTCTACGACATTCATCAGGGCGTAGTTATCGCAAGAACTACGCCCTGATGAAGGTTGCAGAATGGCGACCGAAACGTTGGCACCTCTGCCCTGGATGGTGTGTCCCACCGCATATCCAAGTACGTACTGACTCCAGCCACGGACGCCTGCGCTTTAATTTAGAACAAACCATCATGGAGTCGCTTACCTTAGCAGGTGCGGCATCCCCCAGGCCTCTGGAGGGGATCTCAGTTCACCTCAACGACAGCCAACGACGATATCTGATTCGGTCAACTTATGCAACTTCCATCTCTCGCTTCGTACACTAATGTGTCACTCGATAAACTAACTCACGAACCTGGGCGACCAACGGTCACCCTGATACACACGTGGTCGTCGAAGTCGAAGCCATTTCAACAGACATGTAAAAAAAACTCGAAAACGCTCCTAAGCAACAAATCGGAGATATACACACACGCACGCAGGAAGTAAACACAAACCGACTCCCGAGCGCCAACAGTTCGAAACAATTGAGGAAACTAAAGGCGAATTCCAACCAACCTCGCTGTTTTAGTTAGTATGACGGTAAACTCTTACTGTAAACCTATTGTGTGCTGAAATATCAAATGAATTGGGATATAGCATAACCTTCAAATTCCATCTTCAATCAAAGTTTGCTTATAGTGGAAATGAACGTGAACGAAAACAGAAAAAGTAATTTTTCTCGAAACGAACTTCGATTGTGATCTGCCGTTATGATTCTGAGAGCCTCAATTGTAGCAATTGTGCGTGAGGAGGAGGGAAGGACGGTCTTTTCTATCAACACAGCATTTGGGAAACCCAAAAGCCGTTCGATTTGGAAGAATAAACAGAGATTCCAGTCCTAAATTCTCCAGGGTTCGGGACGGTCGTCAAGGCCAGGCCGAGGCGGCAGCGGCTCCTCAGGCGGGGAAGTTGGACAGCAAAAGAGGAACTTCCCACGCCCGACCCTTTTCGCGCACGCGCAGACCACGTTTTTTTGTTTTAATTGGCTGAGCTATCGTTCGTTAGCTAGGTCAAATTCAACCGCTGCTGGTGAAGAATTCTAGCCGCCGTCTGCTCTGTCGGTAGTTTCTGTGGCTTTTCCTTTCAATACTACGCGAATGCCAGTGCACTACCCTTACATCCGAGCCACGAACCACGTTCCGTTTTGCTTCTTTGTTATCTTACTCTCTCTGTCCTTACACACACGTAAATACACATCGGCAGAGCGCAGAACTTGGTTCGGCTGGGGCGGTTGCCCTCGTAGTAGACATCTGGAAGAGGAAATCTCGGTACGTCGACGAGTAGGTTGGCGCCGAATCTCACCATGCAATGGGCGAGGAATATCGCGGGCTCTCAGGATAACGCATTCACTACACTAACGGGTCTGATGACAATAGCAGTTGATGTGACATAGCAATCAAACAATCAGGCGCTATTAAAAATCCTTGAATGAGAAGAATGAAACAGAGAGAAAGTAAAATAATATGTAATGAATTATGTACTTTCATTTAATAAACCCCACAATCAAACGTTAAAGAAAGGATATCAATGTTCAATCATTATGCGTTCATTCGTTTCTTCCTCAATAATCTATCTCTCTACAACACTTAACAAGAATTGATTAATAAATTATACTAAAAATTTTGCAGTAACAGTAACAGTAAAATGCAGCTTTTGCTTGTAAATCCAATCCAATCCAATGAAAAACGTGTGGTGTTGTGGGTATGTGCAGGGGGCGCAGGGCGGCAGCAGCAGAGGCGGACTTCCTGGCGGCGGGGGTGGCGCTGTTCCAGCGGCGTTGCGAGCGGCGGCGCGAGGCCCGCCCCGCCCCCGCAGACTCCACCGCCCCCGCCCACCGCTCGCTGCTGGGGGCCGCCGCACTCGACGGCCTCTGGCTCTGGCGCTGCTTCAACTACAGGTGCGCCCCTCTTCATACCAATGCCTGACTCTACACCAATGCGTGACTACACCAACATCTGGCCCTACACCAACGTCTGGCCCTACCCCAAGCCTGACCCTATACCAACGTATTTCCATACACCAAGCCTGACCCTACCCCTACCCAACGCCTGACCCTACCCAACGCCTGACCCTACCCCAACGCCTGACCCTACCCCAACGCCTGACCCTACCCCAACGCCTGACCCTACACCAATGCCTGACCCTACACCAATGCGTGCCTACACCAATGCCCCACCCTACCCCAACGCCTGACTCTACACCAATGCCTGACTCTACACCAACGCCTGACCCTACCCCAACGCCTTACCCTACACCAACGTCTTGCCCTACGCCAAGCCTGACCCTATACCATCGCATGATGCTACACGCAAGCCAAACCCCATACCAACGCCTGACCCTACCCCAACGCCTGACCGCAGAATACTATACTTCAAGTAAAATTGTATTAATTTAAGAACTAATGCTACATTATTGAACTATACATATGTTACAATCATGAAAGCCCGTGGAAGTAACAATGGAACATTAATCCCTTACCTAAACGAAGATATTATCGATTTGTTTTTGATTCCCCCTTTGTATGCGAGTTAATTCGACGCTACACTGCAACACATACCAGGAAACCAATTAAGAGCTATAGACCACGTCCTGGTTGGAACGGTGCCCCTCTTTTGGTGGGAAACTCGTAGGGGGAAATCTCGCAAATCAACGTGTAAGTCGGCGCCGGTTCTCACCCTTCAGCGGGGCAGTCACCGGTCACCTCGTGCGCTAAAAAAAACATTACTGTTCCGGGACGAACAGGAATCGCAGTTGTGGCGCGGCCTTGAGCGTTGACGGGTGGGAGAGCGTCGGGCCCCTGATTGCAGCGCGGCGGAGCGCGCGGGCGCCGGGGCGGTGTCCGCGCCGCGCGAGCCGGGCCAATGGGCGCTGTGGGCGCTGACGCTGGCGCCCAACGAGGGGCTGCGCGTGTCGGCGCCGCTGCCCGTGGCCGTCTTCAGGCCGCTCGCCGTCTTCTTCTCGCTGCCCGCGGCGCTGCGCGTGGGCGAGACGCTCGAGGTGGACGTGCGCATCGCCAACAACGTCAACTCCTGCATGGACGTGAGTCTCCACCATTCACTCCACTTACTAGCGTTTCTAGGAGGCAATTGTATACGACGCCGACTCCTGCAAATACGTGAGGAGACTCACGCCTTTCACGCCATTCACTTGTTTCTAAGAGGGATTTGTATACGACGCAAACTCCCGCATGGACGTGAGTTAACCCTTTCACTCCACTAACTAGCGATTCTATGAGGGACTTTTATACGTCATATCCTGCATTGACGTGAGTTACCCCTTTCAAGCAACTAAATGGTGTTTCCAATAGGAAATTGCATATGACACCAACTCCTGCATGGACAAGAGTTACACCTTTCAATCCAGTGTCATCTACTTTTCACCATTCATTTTCTCGTAATAGGTTCTCACTTTGCATGGAATTTCACAATGATGCACTGAATATTTTTTTTCCAAATTTGTCTCTTAATAGGGAGGGTAATTTGTCCTCGATCTCGTTTTCTTCAGTCTATTTCCCGTATCTTGTTCCATTTATATATCAGTTTTTTTTAATTAAGACAAAATTAAATTTTTCCCAATCTGACAGGGTATTTTGACTTTTGCATACAGCCAAATTCATACTTCGAAAAAATTCCAAAACATATAATTTGACGGGATTCTGTTTTTCTCCATTCAATTTCTCTTACGTTTTCTCCTAAAATATTAGTTTTCAAAACTATACGCTGAAATTTTTTTTTCAAATTGTCACGTAATGGCAAAGGTATTTTGAACTTTCGCACTTACCCATTAGCGTAACTAACATGTAACTCCGAAACTATAATTTTCAACGGATGCTGGTGTTATCCATTCAATTTCTCTTAACTTGTTCTACTAATATACACGTTTTCAAAAGTATACGCTAAAAATAACTTTTTCCCTATTTTGTCACGTTGTCCCTGCTAGGGTATTTTGAACTTTCC